ATATCGTGCAGTCTGAGGTTTTGCTATATAACAAATTTATAAATATCAAAAGCTCATATCTGAGATGAGAGCTTTTGTTACATGACTGAGCTCTCATTTGGACATTTCTTCCCAGCAAAACCTAACATCTCATAAATTGGACGCCATTTGCAAAATGAACAGGGGTAAATTAATGTTGAAGTTATCTCGGCAAAAGAGAAGATTAGAAGCTGAAAAAGATTCTGAAGTTAATTCAATATTAAGATGCAATACGCGTATCTCAAACTGGTCACTAAGACCACCACAAAGTCCTGCAACTAATTGTAACGAATCCTTTTCAACAAAACAGTCAAATCTAGACAATGATTGTCAGAAATCAGCTTCAAGTGTAACATACCATCGGCATCCCATTGTAAAAGGTGTAGAAAACAAGGGTCAAATCATATTAGAACTCGTTGGTAAAAATACAATTGTGATTAAATCAGAATAAAAGGAAGTATGTAATATTTCTTCAAAAACACTATATGGCGTTCAACCTTTATTGCCCAGTAGGTACAAAAAAGTAGGGCATTAAACCCCATTTCATTTCTTACTGATTATTCATAATACATCAACAAATTATTTTCTATAATCATTGAAAATCAAATGGTATACATAACAAATAACTTTTATCATTCTGCTATGATCTTGCATGATAATGGGTTACTTTCATGCACGAACTCTATTAGATATTCACAGTATTTCCTGAAGATGTCAACAACCTCTAGTGGTCAGGACTTTTAACTTCAAAATCTTGCAATTCTTGTATTCCAATATGACAATTTTTAGCATTAATATATTTTAAGGTGTTTTTACACATAAAAAACTATAAGTGTAGTATAATTGTATTTATAGTGCTTGAATTCTTTGAAATTCAAAATTTAAGGCATCTAAACTGACGAACAAAACCCTGCCATTGACCAAATTCTGGCCTGTGGACAGTCACATTAAAATGGATTACGAATTTGAGACTCTCAAACATTTTTGGCTGGATTTGTGGGTTTGAATATAATAATTTCATTTGGCTTTGGTCACATACATGTATATTGTTCTCTTTAGAAACATTTTCTGCACAGATTGAAGCATGAGTCTCTATAACATTTTTGTTGAAGGTCTTCTGACAAACTGGACATTCCACATCTTCAATATTATCAGTCCTGAATACAAAATGTGAATTAAATAAATTATAAAATTGTTATTGACGACTCCATTTACTTAAAGAAATTAATATTTATTCAAGTCCCATTCAGAGTCGTCACTTGCTTTAATTGTTTGCTAACATCTTTATGATGAAGTTTTATAGAGATTTATCCGATTTAAAGAGTTCATTGTACAATCGTAACATGTGTATGATGGTACTCATCAATATGCCTTAATGAATTAGAAGCTCTAACACTGTATCTTCGATAAAGTAAGCCTTCTAGATCTACCCTTTACATGGCACCTCTGACCCTTTACTCTTGCAAGGTAAATCCCTGAGCTGATAAATGACCCTTTACACTTCTATATCCCTGATCAGGAAATCTTGATATAATAGCAGTAACTAAATTATCCAGCTCATCATCTCTTAAAGTACTGTACTTTTGTGAAATGGATATATCATATTCGTTGAGACGTCTACAAATGGTGCGTTTGGAAACGCTGTATAAATTTGCAATTTCGGCCAATTTAAAATTGTTATCAACTAAATATTGTAACTGTTCCTGTGGAATAAATAACTTTGGCGGACCAACTATTCCTGACGAAACATGCTACTCTCTGTCGTGTCCTAGTTGTCTTGTTTGCAAATTTATTGCATCGTATAATAACTGTAAAGCTTTTCTTAAAGATACATTATGGGAGATAAGATAAAGAGATGGCAGTTCTCGCTATAATAGTTAAAAACTAGATAGTCTAAAGGTAATTTGCTGAAAATTTCAGTCAAATTGATCCACTATGAGCCGAGAAAGAAGCGGGTGAAATTTTTGCATAGTCTCGGTCATCATTACTAAAATCATTAATATAAACAGCATAGTCTCGATTATCCACTTTTATTGATTTAATTATCAATAGCCTTTAGCAGCATATAGGAATCTAATCCAGCCAACATCGAAGGCTAGCCTTGACATCGAGAGTTTATTATGGTCTTGATAAGTTAATTAATGTCTAATTGATAATTTAGATAACATTTCAGGCCTAAAGAGAGACTTGTAATAAGCAGATTTTGCTCTTGCATAATGCATGTTTAACTGATAAAGGCAGTCAGATATCTCTTCAGTAGTTACACTTATTTCAGATAAAATGCCAGCAATCCCCCAACATTCATGCCGATGTTCAGTCAAAGATTCGTTGGGTCTATTAAGACAATGAGCCAACCTCAAGGTTCGATGATATAACTCATTAAACAAAAAGTTGTCTGACATGACAAGCAATTTATCTGAGTTTTTCAACAACAAAAAATAAATAAATAAAAAATAATAAAATCGGACAATCTTAAGAGTCATGAATAGCCCAATGGAGCATTAATTTTAGCCCTATGACGTCAACTTCGGCTGAAACCGGAACCACGCCCTCTGTCCGTTCGATTGGAGAAATTTATGGTGGTTGAAAATAAAATGGTGAAATTCTTATAGTTGAAAATGCAAAGATGAAAAAGTCACAGTGAATTTGCAAATGCGAAAAGTAGAAAGTGAAAAAACGTAAGTAGTTTTTTAACGCTGTTAATTTTTGGCGAGCAACTTCAGTGTTGATACTAATATGGTGATTTTGTATTATGTAATATCTACAAGTGAAAAATCACGAAAATGGCCATTTTTACCATTTTAACAATGATAATTTTGCCATTTTAACTGTGATATTTTCTCTTAATATGGCAACGATTCGGCTCCATTGGAAATAACTGATAGATTCAAAGAACCATAGAAACATACTTTCCAGCAATGTATAACACGATAACTGGAATTTCGTATTAAGTCCCGTATTTTTAATCCATTTTTAAAAAAGTATAATTATTGTGCCTAACAAATAATGAATATACATGTAGGCTACTTAAAAGAGAGGCAAGAGTATACATGAACGTGCTTTTCACTAATATGTAACATGATATCGTATTATGACCCGTATTTTGACATTGCATACCCTCCCCTATCCGTAATCATGGTAATATAGTTTAGTACCATCCAAATTTGGTCGTTTTTTCAAGGTAAGTAAATTTCTTATAGTGTGCCAGGTTGGTTCCCCCTTATCGTGTGTCATCTTATAGTGTGCCAGGTTTATCTCGGCCTCGTTTCCGTATATGTTAATAAGTCACGTGATATCCTACATTTGCATATCATAGTTAGTGCTCTGCGTAAGATGCTATGTAGAAAGCGTGAAGATCAAATGAAATGCGGCAGAACGCAAATGTAAAATGTAATGAGGGAAATGTAAAATGCAGACACGCCAAAAAAAAACAGCCGTTTCCAATCAAACATTTGTCATTTGACACATTACATTTGACGTTTTACATTTAACTTTGGCCTTAGAGGTATTTTGACTTCATCATTACCGGTTTTAGGACATTGTACATTGTACTTTTTTACATATAATCAATGGAAAAGACATTTTAGCAGAGAATTTAATATTGGCAGTGATGCCCTTCCATAAGATATATACCTAATAGACCCACTGGCCTCCTTATGACTGTCGCAGAGCCGCGCTGGCTCAATGAGTATGGCGCTGGTTAGCTGACCAAGAGGTCACGGGTTCGTTCCCGGTGTTGACCGAGAAAGTTCCTCGGGATTTTCCGGTGTGGTTTGCTCTTGTAAATGGTGCAGGACGAAGGGCCTAACAAAAATAAAATGTAAACTGCGGCAAACAATGGGACAATGACTATTATTAAGGATGAGGTAAATTTGAAGAGTTCAGTTGTTTTCCTACTATTTCTAATTTTGAAAGAAAAACTGTAAATAATAAATAAATAAATAAATACAACATACGGCAATTATAAAGAAAAGGTGTGTACATTTTCTTTGAGACGTATATCTAATGATTGTTTTTATAAATTCAGTCTTTATTATTATAAATATATTAGTTTTCGTTTGAAGAAAATGAAACTGGCAGAAACTTAACAACAAAAATAAAGCATTGCGAGGAATGTGTAACTTTTTTTCTGTTGTTCTTATTATTTCATCAGCGTAGATTTATTTAAAGACACTATGGCTATCGCCACTGATCAGCAATGTTTCTTTTTTTTTTTCGTTTGAGTACGCATACAAAGTATGCAACAATTCAGACAAACCTGCCCATTCATATTTAAGTCAGAAGAAAACCTCAGAGACTAAATTATCTTGAAATATAATTTTGGTCGAAAACCTTTAAATAATGATTATTATTATTTCATCAGCGTAGATTTATTAACATACATAATTAATGAATTAAGTGGATAGAAGAAGACATGTCTTTAAATGGCATTTTAAAAAGACGTATTATCAGCACATAACATTTCTTCGTTTCGTTGTGAATTTTCCGGCAGTTCTAATTTTTCCAGCAGAATAAAATATGTGGGAAATAAAGGAATCCCAATCATCAATTCGCATTAGCCATATCTTTTGGGGAGAATCACATACACCGGTGGGAAAGCGTATGATTGACTTCCAAAGCCTTAAACTTTCGAGTTCTCGTGTTCCTGCCGCCGTCAGAAGCCTGTGTGATGAAACAAATTATTAGTATTCGCTGGGATCATTTCCGCATTGAATACAAAATCTCATGGGTAACATACGGTTGCAATTTCATCAATTAATGTGAGGGTTGGGTAGTGTAATGGAAGTGACAATGAAAGGATGCATCATTTAACCCCCTCTCCTCAGGACGAATTCAAAGGATTAACTAACAGTTATAAGAGAAATACTTCCATAAAACTTACCGCATTCCTTTATATTTGGGTCTACATGGTTGTACATTGTTAAATCGTTGAAGAAACGTCGAGAATTACAACAAATTTTAATTTAAAACTTTATTATTAACGCCATATTTTTTTAAAACCATCATATTTACAAAACTATAATTTTACTGGGTGTGATTTGATGTGCCATTAAAGTTTAAATTCAATAGCTCTAACCCATTATTATAGCTTATCCCTGTGAACTTTGGTTAACGGTGGTCTTCTGCAGAGATGTTTAAATATGAACAATGTTTAAATAAAAGAAATATTTAGTCACTCGAGGCTGTAGTTTAACGGCTAAGGAGTAGTCCAGAAAGCAAACACATCCACAATAACGGATTTTTTGTGTCAGGCCACGGAAAGATTATTAGTCTTCAAATGATGATTTGCCTGAATAATCAAACACGTCACTTTGATTCTAACAGCGGCGACCCTCCTCCTCTTCATCGAATTCAAACTTTCAAAGTTTATTTTACGTGCACGTCAATGTGTACACGGATGAACCTCGGTTTGCCTCCCCATGCGAACGATCACCAACCCCTGTCAAAAATAAAATCTCCAAGTCTACGTCGAGGTGCGAATCAGTGAATTTTCCAGACAACTGGTTAGCTAATCACTAGTTATGCCTAAACGGTGATTACTTAAAGGGACTATCCCGATTTGAATAGAGTCTCAAAAATAAAAGTCCGGGTACGTATGAAAATTTAGCGCCAAAATGTAGAGGAACGGTCTACTTACCCTGTCTCAAAATTTCAGCTCAAAACATTAGTCGTTTGGACGTGAACTACAATATTGCTTATCTTTTAAGATTTCGGGTCATTTTTTTCGTTGGGTGACCTGATAATCGATTCCCGTTACTTTAGACCAGTGCTTCTCAACCTTTATGATACAATTCCCCACGCGAGAAATATTTTCTCCGCTATTCACCCCTGGCACTATAAAACTTCAAATTACTAAAAACTAAAAACTGAAACATGCTCATTAGGTATCGTTTCAAACACATATTTAATGAACGGATGCCATGGATTTACACATTAAAAGCACAATGGAGATGTCATGACCCTTGTTTACTGAGCACCTTGTGCTTGGTGTTTTTGAACAAGGGTCTTAACATCCGGAACTAACTTTGTTAACTTCAATTGAATATTTTCGAACTTTCACCTTCGCTTTCGTAGCCATGATGTTAATTCACTAGGACACTAGCATTGGTGTGTGATACTACAGGTAATAATGCACAATCGCACAATACAGTGCTTATTGTCACATTGACACGGAGAAACTGAGAATTGAACAACCAGTACTAAGGACAGGTTATTGAAATTAAATTTGGAACCCCTATTCAGCTCGTGCAGAGTTAGGGTGTAAAAAGAAACCAAGCGATCGACGATCTATCCTACCTAGCTGCCTATAATCTATTTCACATTGAGATAAGACTAGGTTATCTAGATAACAAACCTTAATCTCTCAACCCTCCGTGTTTCGAGATAAGAGATGAGGCCATTGCCTTCAACGTAGCACATGCGGGAGCGATTCGCACCCGAAATTTTAAAACAAGATTGACAATAATTTTAATTAAAACAACGATTGATTATTGTTATTTATAATATTTCTACCACACCCAACTACAATTAAGCATATAATCCTACCTGAAACGGGTACAAATCGTCGTTTTTAAAATCGAGGCGTTAAGCCGTTACTAAGGCCGCCATCTTTTTAAACGATACGCTGTCATCATGAAGGCGGGGCTAAATATAAGGCTTTTATAACAGCCAATCAAAAGGGCAATCTAAAGCACAGTAACTATGAATGGATTTCGATGTCGGTGAAATGTCAGACAAAAACAACGCTTCATTAATTTAAACGCGAATATTTGGAGTTAGACGACAGTTGTGCCACTACATTGGCCTCTGTAAGTTTAATTAATCATAATAGCATAAACTTATCTTATTTTAAAGATGTTACATGCATTAATAAAGAAATTGAGTTTGCCACTTGGAACTAAAGGCATCCAATCGTAGCTAAAAACAAACACATCAGTATATCTCAACGTTTTTAGCTACGTTCTCGTAGCTATAGGTTACCCACTTCCCGGACAATCAACAGTACAGCGAGATATGATAAGCGCCATTATACTCAGCGTTGAAATTAATTATGCTAGTGCTAGTCAGTCATTTAGTTTCCGACCAATGACTACGCAGGTTTGTGGTCGGTAACATTTTGACTGATGGCTCCCGGTCAGGAGTCTGAAAACTCAATTCATGCAAATTCCCCCCTAATCACAAAATTCACCCCTTTGTGTATAATTCACCCCCCAATTACCCCTTTTTCCAAATTTCACCCCCGAGCACATGGACCCCGGTTGAGAAGCACTGCTTTAGACGTATATACAGTGAATGACCAATGGAATGTACTTGATAATGAAAGGAAAATTTCACCTACACATTATTTTATCCAGATACCGTACAAAAAAGCTTAGGAGACCGATCTCCATTTCGAGAAGAAGACTTACGGGTTTAAGTTGTTTGAAAACGTATCACGTATATTGAGTTAGTTGCTCGGACCTAAGGTAAAGGGTTTTAAGGGATTTTAACACAAAATTAAGCAGTTTTTTTCTCCAAAATATTATCGGGATTGGCCCTTTAATAACAGGAAAAAGTATCGTGTATTATTCTCTTTATAGTCAACTGAGACCTATGCGTGCCACGGACTTCGACTAAGGCCAATAATGTACTGGGTTAAATAGAATTTTATATAATAATTGGCTAGGGCTATTGATGTTATAATTTAAATTGAATGCTATGATATGTAACGATAATTGGTGTGCAAATGAACTGTATAAGATTATTATATCATAATGTACTCTGTTCTTCAATATTCTCATCAAATGTAATTAAACGCCCTTCTGTTGGAAAATTTACCTGCAAAAAAGAAAAATCAATATATTATGCGTTATATGTATAGAAAATCAAATGTCACCTAATTCATTGAGTTACTTCCCTTCAAGTAAATAATTCGTACATTGCTCTCTTGTGCAGGGGGTGGGGGGAGCGCACGTGCGTTGTATCATAAGGTCTGTCATGTAGTCAAGTGGTCAAGGAGTAGGTCACCTGACTAACCTCGTGCGTTTTCTCCGATATCCTCCCACCACCAAAGCCCATTAGGCTATATTAGGCTATCCTGTAACTACAAGCTAGTTTTCTTGTAAATAGCTTGTAATTACAAGATACGGAGAACCTTATTAGGGTCAATCACATGAAAAAAAAGTGTTCTAACTAGTTTATTTCAAGTTCGCCCTTGGCTCCTTTAAACATACATTATGCACGAGCTAATTCTGCCTATAGCAGGTCTTTCTTTGGACCTTAAATGTTATATTAACTATTAATTAGACATTAATTAACATAACAAGACAATAATCAACCCCGATTTTTGACATATTTGAATTATATCCGTTGATGATTAACCGTAAAAACGCTTTTTGTTTTCGTTCGTTTTGACTTTGCACAGTTTTTAAATTTCTGTTTAAATGTAAAAAAATTGCTAAACTCGACAACTTCTGCAGACAATAAAAACTGTGCCAAGTCAAATCAAACGAAAACAAAAACAGACAAAAATCAAAATTTAAAGACGTTTTCCGAAAAATATAGCGTTCTGTGGCTTTAAGGGGAGCATTAAAGGAGCTAAATCGCTAACATTTCGGACCTAGAAATTAAGCCAAATGGATCGCAACGCATATAATAATGTAATCTGATTGTATATGAACTGATTTACATTCAATTGTTTCCGTTTTGACTATAATTTCAATTCAGTTATGTCCAGCGAAATACGGCATGAGTCTCAACCGAATAGAAATTTCTAGCGCCTGGTTATTCCAGTCTATTGCGCATGCTCTCCAGATAAGTTATGGCGTCGCCGTTTGGCATGAGTTGTGGAATACGTCTAGCCTCGTTCTTTCTGGTCACTTGTTATAAATGACGCCGAAACGCACTATGGTACACGATTCGTGTACCAATGGTAAAATGTTTATTTTGTCTTAAATATTGGATATCAGAAGCCCACCCTTTCCCGGTAAGATAGCAACATCAATGTTGATTTGAATTGACAAAAAATTCGTGTTTTCAACGTGTACGACTTTGGGCGATATTGAGTTAGAGACTTAGCATTTAGCTACTTTAATATTGATGAATCATGATATTAATAAATGATATCAATGCGTGTATGAAGTTGGTGGGAGTATGAAGTTAATGAGAGAATGACCTGTATGATTTTAATCGAGGCATGAAAATAACGAATGATATTTATGAAAGCATGACATGAAATTTGCCGATTCTGTAATATAAAATACAGTATGGCGTTGGCCTAGCTATTCGATAAATCGGTGTATGGCGGCCTTAAAATAAGTTACTCATGGTCTTCTCCGTATCTTGTAATAACAAGATAGGCTGTCTTAGGCTAAGATAATCAGATTTTTTTTTTATTTGATTGACCCTAATGGTCTTCCGGAGAAATGACCTAATTTGTGTCGAGTGGACGCTAAGCCTCCCCCTCTCTCTCTCGCTCTCTCTCTCTCTCTCTCTTGTTTATATATGTACGGTTGGTGTGTTATGGTTACTATAAGTCATGCATAATCTGTGGTAGCCTGCAGTCCGAATTCAAAGGTCAAGTGGACGAATTCCGTCAAATCGTGCAAATGGCACGTCTTTTATGAGATAATTCCCAAAATTTCAGTGCAGAAAACCCCCCAGCACAACCATTTTTAATTATTTCTTTAAGAATGTAGGATTCGATTTCGTCTTTAACGTTTACAGCCATGTTTGTGCATATTTCACTCTGATGCATTTCGTGGTTATACAGAATTTTAACACCAGTTATGTTTGAGCTGAAAATCTATAAATCGGTTGTAAAGGTTAAAACATTTCACATACTCCTCCATTTCCACTACCTTGACCATTCACTGGATCTATATTCACAATTTCTCTGGATTGATGTCTCCGATTAGATTTTTCTGATATATTTAATGTCCCATTTTTAAGCTAAAATATAAAACCAATACGTATTGCATATATTAATACTATTTATATTTAAACCATTTATCGTATTTTTAAATATTTTTAATTAAAAAATATTGATAGCAAACATTCTTTTTTTGTTTACAAATGATGTATTTTACAGATTTAAGAGAAAAATTGTAAAAAAAATTGGAGGAATGGGGGCGATCTTCAAATGACATGAAATTTCGTTCATTACTATTTAAATTTTTGAACTTTTGATTTTAAACTTAGTTTTCTAATTTTAAAAAATCATTTCCTATTTGAAGTTCAAAATAATAATAATTTCAACTTAATCTTTAAAATGAAATAGGAAATTAGAAAATAATACAAATTAGAATACACAATCGTGTACTAGTTATAAAATGTTTATTGTGTCCTAAATATTGGGTATTCGTTTCTCATATTTTCACGGCAAGATAACAACATCAGTAAGGATAGAAATGGACCAATATTGAATTCTAATTTGGATTTTTAATGTCAAACATTATGGGAAATATTGAGTTAGGGGTTTAGCAGCAGTCCACGCTATCTGGAGGATATAATTGGTGGAAGACGATTACATTACAAGCTAATATATGTATGCATACCTGTAATTTTTTACCTCTAAATTTTCTTTTAAAAATGAAATCTATAAAGGCTGTCAACATAGCTAACACTAGTCCACCAATTAAAATATGAAAAATCCCAGACACATTACTTAAAGTAAGGGCACTAGTTGATGTATCCTGAAAAAATATATAGAATTTAAACTGTCAAAAACATATTAAGTACGGTGCCTGTTTTTACTCAAATTACAAGCGACAATCTAAAAATTATCTGAAAACTTCCAGAGACGACAGCTTGCTATATAATAGTAGGTTATTCTACAAGAGAAACATGATTTTTCAGTGTCAAGTATTGTTTATCAAATTGGAAATAACGAAAAAGCTTGTCTGTACACCCCACAATTAAATAAAGATCTGCTATTGGTTCTACATAATAATTATGAGTTGGGTTTGGCAATTTTTTTTTTTGGCGGGGGGAGTCTAGTTTTATTTCATTCTATGCTCTTCGTTGTTCCAACAGTTATTCTAATCTTTTAATTTTCACGCCTTTTACCGTAACGCCATTTTATATGTATTTGGTTTAAACATATTATATTACAGATATATGTCTTATTATAGTAAGGGGGGTTGGATGGCCGAATGGTTAGCACGTGCGTGCTGTATCATAAGGCCTGTCATTGAGTCAACTGGCGTGGTTTCGAATCCCCGGTTGTACGTGACAAGGATTAGGGTCGCCTATCCAACCTCGTGGGTTTTCTCCGGGTCCTCCGGTTTCCTCCCACTGCTAAAGACCCCTACGCGCAAGCGAATTATTGAAATAAAATTGAACCATTTGTTAGTCCCGAAATGACCTAGTTTGTGTCGAGTGGACGTTAAACCCCATTTCTCTCTCTCTCTCTCTCTCTCTCTCTCTTATTATAGTAATAGACGGAGTCGTGCCCAAGGTAGACCAGCCTCTGCTTGGTCTTCCAAAGACCTGAAACCACTTCGTCATGGGAATATTATTTGTCTTTTGTGTATTTAACCATACTTTGAGTGATAATTCATTATTGAACAGTGCTATCAGGGAATTAATTTTTTTTCACATTTTGACTTGCATGCTTAAACCACATTTTACCAACAAATACAAAGTAAAATAAAGGACTTTGCAATTAAAACATACATCTCTAAGAAATCGATATTTTATTTGCCGACTTGAAAATCAATTTAAATCTTACCTTACCGCCTCCATCTGGCCCACACTCTCCCTTATCATACCACCATTTCTGTTCTAGTTTATGAAGTTCACCAACTTCTCTTAATTCTAACACAGCAATATTTATAGGGTCTCTGCAGTATAGAAATCGTTATCATGACATGTGTACATTTCCCTGGGGGCGGGGGATGTCCCCCGTTTCAGCTATCTCGACCATAAATATTCCACTTTAATTCAATTTTCTCCTCTTGGCATAGTACTGATAAGACGTCCATTAAACAATTTACTATTTAAATGTGACAGTAATTGTTATTTACATCCTAATTCACAATGAAACAACATGAGATATTAGGCCCGTGCATATGCATTACCTACATTTTGAACTAAAAGGGTAAGACCTTGTCCATTTGCAATTTGTGTGCACATTCGTGTACTCTTCCATTGATAGGGTTTAACGCCGAACTCATAAAGTAATTTATATATAACAGATTTAAATAGAGTACTTAATTTTCTTGACAAGGTAATAACCATTATCTAATGACTCATATTTCCATTTTAAAAAATAGATCCGTTAGGCCAGAAGCTGACATCGAATATCTAACCACCGTTGCTCCATCAAAAAGCAATTTGATATTTTAGTGAAAAAATGTGTTAATTATAGCATTCTCATTCCAAAAATCGAAGTTCTAAAAGAAATAGCCCGTAGTTCTGATAAAATCCGCTTTTAAATTTCGCGCTCCATATCTTCGCCCAATCAAACAAAATGGAGTGTTTTGAGAGGTTCCTTGTTGACTAAAATGGCCAGGTGATATGATTCGACCAATGAGGCGCTTCATAATATAAACATGGCAGCCGCCGTGTATATTATTCGTATGTAATAAATTAGCCTCTATCATCCAGAAAAATATTCTACGAATATTAGTCTGGATGCGTTGTCAACATTTGAAAATAATAGGTCATTGGCTAGATTATCCGGTCTTTTACATTATCATAAACAAAGTCTAAGGAGGATAACAAGGCCTAAAACAAGATGTTGACGCCCATGAAATTGATTTAAGAATGTCATTTTAGAAAATCCATTTGATTGCATTTCCAGTTCAATACCCAACACTTTTATTTTTTTTATTGTAAAATTTCTCTCTTCGTGGGACTTATTGTGGGAAGGGGCGCAACTCTTACTATAATCAACTGGATAATCAACTACATAAAAAAACAAACTACCGGTTACGCATGGGCAATGAAACTTTTCGTCAAATATTGATAACGGTGCCAGACCCCCGTACGTTGAAGACTAGGAGGTTCTGGGTGACCGAGACTAGTAATCAATTAAGTGGAAGGTTAAGGCTTGAATACATTCAGATAGGACAAATTTAGGACCATTGCTGAAGAGTGGCTGAAAAAAGTCGGAAATGAAAAAGGTTAGGGCTATGATTACAGATGATGGCGAATCTACGACCATATTATAAGTTCCATGTACCGGTACGGCGAATTTGAAAATAATATCAGGTATAAAGTGTTTCACCAAATTTACTAATAGAAAAGATACAAAAATAGGTTTGATTTGTATTGGATCAGTATTTCATTAAATGATTACAGTTGGAAGACTAGAAGCGATTTGCCAAGGTAAGTAGTTAGTTGAAAAATAATGTTTAGACAGTTTGTTAATAATTAAATCTACATTTGTTCATTATTATTGTCTTTTGATAAATGAGTTTCTATGTGCAAACTCATAGTACACATTTGATATTTCGAGGGAATTAGATATCTATAAAAGGAAGCGATTAACATTGCACAGCTAACCATAGAATGTAAATAAACTTGTGTTTTTCCTGATATAACCAACCTAGGCCTTGCTTATGGACGATAAATTCCATTTCTTTATTCATTAATACATCCACCTGCATTTATTTCAGAACCATTCCATAATTTAAAAGTGAAAGGTTATATATATTTTACCAACAGAAAATATGACGGATAAATTAACAACCTGATCTACTGATACAAACAATACTGACACATGAATCCAACAAGAACTTTGTATAATTAATGCCAATTCGTTATGGATGCATCCATGGGGAATAAATTCTACTTTAGACTGTGATATTACAGTGACAGTTATGATATTTGTGTTTTAATTTGTGTTTTGTGTACACTAAATATTTGTCTGTATAAATGCTGTCTATTTTTTTTAAGACTTTTATGCTGTTAATAACCGCCCTCTCTTCAACAATGTGGAAAAACAGATTGGACTATTGAAGAATCAACTGAGCTTAACACTCTAGATCTTTGTGGGTTAGTCCCCGAATTGCCAAATAAGCATTCCCCCGACCTATGCGCCTGACCATATTTAGAGTACATTAAGACCTTTTCTTTCTTGGAACCGTGAGGGGTTGGTTGCTGAATTGTTTAACATGTGCACGTTCGATTGAGTCAAGTGGCGTGGTTTTGATTCCAGGCTTGTACGTGACAAGGAGTCAAACCTCAGGTTTCCTCCCACAGCTATATGTTGTCCATTGCCAGGCCCGCTGTCCTACACCACTGACAAGCGGGGAACCATTTCGGAAAATACAGTTGAACTTTCTCGACCAACACCGGGATCGAACAATTAAGGGAGCTCAAGGTTTGTGAGCCACCGTGGACCCCAGTTATGGGGCAATGAAGACAGGTATACACAAGATTATAGCATTCTATGAGGTACTTTTGCTGAACAGCGGCGCTATAGATTAAAATCTTATTTCAAATTCTGTCAAAGGCCCTTCGTCTTGCAGCAGTGAAAACAGGAACCAACGCTGGAAAATCCTACGGTATTTTCTTGGCCAACATTTGGAAGGATCGAACCCAGGACTTCCTGGTCAGTGGGCCACCATGGCTCCTGATTTCTGGACCAACCAGGCTGATGAAAACATACGTATGGAAGCCGATGGTTACTATTTAGCTCCTTCTGGACTTCACATGCTAAGCTGAGAAGCTGCGACAAGTGGCCAGTCTCGTTCAATTGTGGGTTCACTTCCCTATGAGATTCAGCGCAAAGGAAATAAGCAGTACGAAGCCAATAAACTTCTTAATTTCGCCTTGTTCATTTCTGTCCTTTGCGCTGTTAACGCATATCAAAGCAAGTCGAAAGAAATAAATAAGGCGATACAGAGAAGTGAATGATTAATTTTTGCCTTTGTACTGAAACTCAGAGCGAGGCTGCGATATTAGGACCACTTGTCACGGCTTCCTGGCTTTACACTTAGTAATTGTGAAGGCAAGAAGGAGCGAAGGAACACTTGTCCATACATATGCTGTGTAATGTGCTATAAGGAAATTTTGTCTGTACAGCGGTACTATGACCTACTTTTATTATTTTGAATACCAACTGTTTAGGGTTCTTTTATGCGCCACACGAACGGATCTCTTGGTTAGTGATGCACCTTACTGCCTGAGTGGCGGGATGCAGAATTTATTTGTTTTGGGTGGGGTGGGAGATCCCTACGTCAACCCAAGCAACAAAAAAAATCAAATTTACATGTTTCGCAGAAATAGAATAATTAGTGAATTTCGTACGTTTTTTGGTGTAGGGGCGGGGCTAGGGATCATAGGCTACTGCCTGAGTGGCGGGCACAGAATATTTTGTTAGGGTGGGGCACGTCACATCACTCCAAGCAACAAAATATTAAAATTTGCATGTTTCGTTGAAACACGTACAATAATTTGTGAATTTATACTGTTATTGGTGAGGGGATGGGGCTAGGAACCCCACATATGGATCCACCACTGGTCACAAGTAGAAATAACGTGTAGGCCTACGACAGAGTTTACAAAATTGGGTCACAATTTTTACCAGCCAAACCACCAGCATACATATTTTATCATAGTTCTATACATTTAAAAGAGATAAATTGTGACTAGTTTCGTTCATATTTTACTGATTCAACTCACGTTGCGTGGTTCTGTTTATCTTAAAGTGTTTCCATATATAGAAAAAAGTGTCATTGTGTCTGCATGTGTAGTAAATATTAAACCACGTGTTATCGTTTGTTTACATATCAAAATTAGCCAATTAAAGACACGTGTCCAAATATGGTTTAAAGAGTAATCCGCCAAGTGTGAGCGCTAAATAAAAATACTGCGGTGTTAGAACCTTAGAACTATCGATATTTATATCCAGAATACATACCTCTATCAGTTAAAGGAAGGTCTTTTACAGTTCCTGATCCTGGAGCAAAATGTGTTTTTTTCTGATAACATTATTTGGTGTCAGCTACTGGCCTATATTTCGGTTTGAATTCATGCACTTTGGGCTACAACAGGAAAGGGGTAAAAACGGCGGAGCGATCATTTGGTCTTAGATTTCAGAAGCAAAGCTTCCTGGTTGGAAATAATCGTGAGACAATGGGAACTAACATATTCTCGGCCAATGTGAAACCTACACCAAAAACTATTTACATAAACACACACAGAAACACAAATGTAACAATATATTATTTGATTTAAAGCTGTACCCTGCTATTGGTTTACGTGCTTTTATTGCAAAGGTAAAAACACTCGAATGGAAAAAAACCCCGACCGAATCCAGTTACACCTAACGTCGTGGTTAATTAGTGTTCAATTATTTTCGGTAATTTACATATTAAACCAATTTTGACTAGTAATTTTCTTGATTTCATGATGCAAGTTTGATATTCAAGCAATATTGGTATGAAAGCATAATATTCAGTAAGCCCTTCTAAGGACGTTAGCAGTATGATCAATAACACCATCTATAATCGTAGAAAATTGTAAGATATAATCCAATCTTTGTATTGGTGAATCTATGTAAATGATATCAAGTATATACTTTAACATATAATCGATAGTCCTGGAAATACAATATACCCTCACTGTTATTTGTTAGATGATAAATCGTGAAGATGATAAATAAAGCAAGTATTTTCTTTACCTTATATCTGAATTTAATGGAGTAGCAATACCATAGCCTTTAAAATCTAAATTTCTTCCTACTTTCATTGTATCACAGGGTTGTCTTTGATTTTGATATTCATTCATTGCTGATTCTAGTAAAAAGGCATACTTAGCCTTAGATTTACGAACACGCTCAACACCTTCATCAACCGTATCAGCAAATACACTTGGTCTAGCCTCTTTCATAAAAGTCCACATTCTACTATAAACTAACACCTCTGTTTCCTATCATGAAAAAAATATAAGGGAGGTTTAGAAATAGTTTTAAACTAAAAGTATTCATTTTCTAATAACGCGCGGAAAAAGTTGCTCGATTGGTGATTTTTAGCTGACGTTTTTCTCGTATGAAGTGTGCGCATGTGGAGGTTTACGTTCTGGCGCTCAAACACGTGTTATCTTCCAATAAGTCAATTAACCCCTCTTATTTCTGCAAATTCAGCTTGCAAATGGCAGATATTTTGGACAAGGCGGCGACAGAACGTTAACAATGTTCGGCCCCATGCTGTAAAGAAAAAATCCTCACTTATGACGTCATTTACACGGGATTCCCTAAATTTGTCAGCGAGTTTTCTATACACGTGAAGACACAAAAAATCGCGCGCGAAAACGCGTACATGGAAAGCTGGCCTTTAAACTGGTCGTTAGCATGTGAAAACGTAATAAGCTATACTGTGCACAGTAAAGTGTATGATTTTAGACACCTGACAACATACACTGAATAAATGTTTATAACTCGGCCACATTTTTGTGTAATTCAGTTGTACGGCTGCAATAGGCAAAGTTCGTTATACATGATTGTTGACATTTTCTATTCTTACGGGAGTACTCCCAGAGAATTAGTGATTTAATCTATATCAATGATGACCTTCATCTATAGTTTGTGTCTCAAGTCGCTCAGTCGGTTTGTTCGTATCATACAGTATTAGGTTCCTAAATAAACACACTTAAAAATGTATAAAGAAGTTAATATAGTTTGATATCGCTATCGATGGGTTGGTTTGGGGCTATATAACTATATTACTAATTTCTCTGTATTTAAAACAAAATGTCCATATTTGCCCCTTACTATATAAATGTTAATATTCCTACAATTTTTGTGTAAGTGGTATTTGTTTTCTCTTAAAGGGGCTAAGCAATTTCATTTCAACAAATCTGAACCCAAGCAACATATCTACAAAAAAATGATTGGATTTATTGGGTGCTGTGGTCAATAGCAGAAAACACCAAAACCCACCTGTTTAAGGTGCCCTTTCTCAGCCTCTATGGGGCCGATCAAAAACAATAACCAAGCAACACTCCTACCAAACAGGAACGAAATCCATCAAATAGTTTACGGGGCAAATCGAAAATGTGTTAAAAGGTTTGATATTTCACCCGTCCCTATAGTGACGGTCAACTTCATTTAAACATCACACAAACAGACCCTTTAATTTCACTTAAACAATGAATCAAAACAGGGAATTGCAGAATTTAAAAAAAAGATACATTAATAACTAAAATTTGTCGCAGTATTTTACTTCTTAAATCCAGTGAAGTATTCTTTCATTTCGATTGAACAAAACTGGACAACTCAACCATTTAAATACGCATACCAACCTTAAAAAATTCGTACGAGGAACCTTTTGCTAAGGTTCCATATTTAATAGTAGTCTGTCTTTCTAAATCATCTGCTGACCCTATGGGTGTTAGCATTCTTTCTATAGTTAAAAAGGCAGCAAGGTTGGCCGTATAAGATGAGATTATAATTAAAGTAAAAAACCACCAGGCACTTCCCACTATTCTCCCGGACATCGATCTGAAACAAAGTACAATAGATTGTAATATAACAAGCAGGTGGTTCTTAATGTGTATATGTTTCGCTCTCGTCGAACATCCAAATCCGATCGCAAAGAAAAATAAACACGGCTTAGCATTGGGTTGTCAAATCTTTCACGCCTATGTTGGACATTGCCAAACAAAAGAAAAGAAAAACAACAACCAACGACCATTTTATTACTTACTTAGTGAATAATATATAATGTTTTAGTTAATGATGATCGCCATGAGAATATATATATATAAAACAAGACATATTTACTCGTAAATTCACTTTAAAGTTACGTAGTGACGAGATATTGCCTAATTCCTAGTATTTAATCCCAAAGGAATATTACAGAAACAATTTGCATTAACAACCGCCAAATCTTAAAAGAAACAATGGTCTACGAATTTCGGTTGTCGACTAATCAAAATAGTTGATACGCCATCCCTTGATGGTTTTACTTCGTAGTATTATAAAACCTTTAACCGCTATACAACCCTCATGATAGTCCGCCCTTCATAGAACTGGATTCGATTCAAATTCGCCCCCTCTTTATTTTCTTTCGAGTCAAATAAGAAAAGTCTGTTTATAGTGATGACAAATATCAGATTTTAAATGTAGTGATACATTAAAAGCCATGGCCAGGAGCGCTCAACAAGGGTTGTTTTTAGGAGGAGAGTTTGGGGACCCCCTGAGTTTAGTTCAGTTAAGCAAATGGGCTGATTTTGTTGCCGAGTGGGCCGTTTTTTCGAGAAAATGGGCTGGTTTACCGGAATCTCTTACACATTCAAACAAACCAAAATAGGCCTACAGATCAATATTCAATCGAGTCATTTAAACATTAAATTATACTATACTTACTGACATAACTGGGGGTAATAATTGATTTTCTAACGCTGAGTGGGCCGATGTTTTGATGGCGCACTATCCCCACCCCCACCCTACCTAGGAGAATATGGCATTACCGATTGTGAAAAACATTAATGGAATTTTTATGGTAAACAATCGTTCTTATAGGAGGATCACGTGGCTAAGTGGGTAAGACGCTGGCTCGCTAGCCTGGCGGTCGGGTGTTCGATCCCTGCATTAGCCGAGAAAGTTCATCCAGATTTTCCGGCGTGGTTTCCCCTTGTCAGTGATGCAGGACGGAGGGCCTGACAAGGACAGCTGTCTAGTCGTTCGGATGGGACGATAAACCGAGGTTCCGTGTACACATTGGCGTGCAAGTAAAAGATCCCTTGGCAGTTGGAATTCGATATAAGAGTAGGCCGTAGCGCCGCTGCCCGGGGCAAAATTTCCCTCATAGCACACTGTATGGCGTATGCCCGTCTTCATTAGCCCAGGTTAGGAGTAGAACAGTAGGACGTTAAACCTCATTTCATTTCATTTCATTTCAATCGTCCTTAATATGAGAAAACCATGGACTCTTTCCCTGAAAAACTGTGTTCTGTTACGACGAATGTGTTTAGAATTATATATTACCTTGGTGAAATATCCGATCCCTGCTGCATAAGCGCTCCGAGAGCAAACCATAAGGTGTTGCCTAAACCAAATACATTTTTTGTTACTCCTGTATGTTCATCTACCATCCATTCTAGCGGACTAAAACGTCCGACAAGAAATAAAATAAAACCAACAGTAAGAAAACCCAGGATGATACACAACCATACATTATCAGCTAATGGACTCATGAAGGAAAACACACCAGGTTTTTGTTTTACGGGTTTCTTAATCATTATACTAATACCGGTGTTGAGAAATGGTTTCGAAAAGTCCACGACTCTTTCTCGAACCTGAGTTATTGTTAACGGTGCAATAGCTATATCGGCTTCCTGAAATAACAAAAAAAATGTTTTAATACTATGCTTTAGCTAAGTATAACCAAAGTTATTGTTCTCTTGGAATGTGTTTCAGTTGTATATAGATATACATTTGCATATTAATATTTTCATTATTATTTGTGGGCTATCTGGTGCGGTGGACCAACCCCTCTTCTAATGCCAAACACCACGTTTTGGCAGCCATTTTATTTTAGATACGCCAAATACGATACATTTTAAAATATGAAAAAAAATCTGAAAATTGCACTTCCTCATTTCGGATACGCCACTGAAAAATCAATGACTTAATGACTTAAAGGGAGTTAAAAGAATACGCATTTATATACATACTGAACAATGGGAGTTGCTGTGCATGACATAAGAGACCTTATCATTTGATATTTTGATGTTAAGTCTGCAGGTTGGATCGATAGTACTTAGACCGCTAAGACCATCAATTATACAAGCTCACAAATATCCTTCTTATTTTGTATTCAATTGAGTAACAACAAATTGTTGATTATGTAAACACAAACATAGCCAACATTCTGCGAGATTGTTTATCTTCTTAAACCAAGTTTTTGCCTGTCGATAAAACCATAAAAGCACAAGTAGAATCATAGACTTATTGAAGTTCTCATCCCGTTAATAATTTGTGATATGTGTACATGATTGAGTGAACACATTATGGGAGGAATGTTGAATGTCACACTGCAGGGATATTGTGACACATCTTTGGTATAAATTATTCAGTATGCCTGCTTGGTTAACGTATTAGAACTGTGATATCATTAAAAAGTGAAATCCCTTCTCATACTGATCAAATTAAAGAGCTGTTAGGTCTCTTAATAGGTGTTTGTTATTTATTGCAATGGAGACCTGTATTTGGCTAAGTAACTTGTTAGATCTGCTTTTATACGTACGTTTCACTTGTAGCACTGATCAGCCTCTCTATTATTATCGGTCTATTTTGTTTTAAATACCATTTATAAACCAATATGAACTGTGTACATATCAGAACAGGTGCCACTTCTGGACCGAGGTCCAGAACTTTTACCATGGGACAAAAACACTTTGCAACTAGCCAATATCTTCAATAAGCATTCGACCAATACCATAATAATTGAACAATAACTAATGTAATATTATGTGAATTACCTCCCTAACCAGTTCTCCTATCATTCCTGTCCAAGAACCATTTGGTAATCTAACACCATACGAATTATCTTTTACCAATCTTATACAATAATTATATCCTAATAAATCTGCTATCATTCTAGCTAAATCTATGCAAAAACCCTCGAATCTATCATCACCAGTACATGGATTACCATCAACTGGATATTTTTCTACTGTAAATGGGGGTTCCTGAAACGATTGTACAAGTGTATATTTGTTAAGTTAAATTTGCACCGAATATTTATATAAAAGTGTTTAGATAAATTAATTGCAAGTTTGTAATCTAGATCTTTGATTTTGCTGTCTTTGATGTTGCAAAACATAATCATTGCCACTAGTACAAATCATACGAGTATAGTGTAGTTCTGTGGTCTGCATCCTATCTTCATACTATGGTTCAACTACCACTTAAGCCAAACAGACTATTCTAACAATAATTATCTAATGGGGATTGTCTTGTAATTTATAACCCGCTTGAATCAAGAGAATATTATATTAAATATTGCCAATCTGAATCAAAAGCATATCAGTTTAATATTACCATCCTATTTCAACAAAATGCTATTTTAAATATTGCCAACTTAAGAGAAAATCATATCAAATACTACCAACTTGTATCAAGAGAATGTCACATTAGATATAAGTTAATGTTATTTTTAATATTACCAACTTGTTTCAGTGAATGTAATAATAATATCCATCTTTTCTAAACAAAATGCTTCATAACATATTACCAACTTGTTTGAAGGGAATTCTATATATAATATTACGAACTTGTTTTACAAGAACGTTACATATATAACAAATTATATTATATTAAGAATGTGCTATATTATCAATGTGCATCACCACATCACCGACTTGTGCAGATACAGTGGTACCATAGGATTATATTCAAATATTTCTTACCAATATTGTTGTAACTATTCTAGTTCTATTAACAGGTAAGTTTCTCCTTTCATTGCCAGGTTTTGTCATATTGGTCTGAAAATTGTTTTCTAAAGTCCATGTTCCTACCTGCAATTATGTGTATGGTACAGTTTAGAGCTCCAACAGAATCAAGGTTGAATATACCGCACACAATCAAAAGTACTATTTAAAACATGTATATATCAAACATTATCACCCAATAATACATTCTACAGTAGATATCGCTTATGTGATATATTTCATAATCTACTGCGATATCTCCTTAGGAGATATCGCTTTACATGAATTTGATTGGTCAGTTGAAAATGAACTACTTTTTTTTATTTTCAAAGAACAGTTCATTTCTTATTAATAAAAGGTAACTTTTTTTTAATTAAAAATTAACTATTGTATTCAATTGACCTTGATGGAAACACTGGGTCAATATAAAGGACTTTGCAATGGTTGAATTGCTGTCTAGTGAAATCTAGAGCAAAGAATTATATTTATCTATTTGTGCATGTAAGAAGGGATTGGGTGATAAATAAAATCTCCTACTCGTCTTTTTTGATATCAAAAAATATCAACACTCGTTGATAAAGTAAAAAAAAACTCGGCAGAGCCTCGTTTTTTGTTACTTTATCAACTTGTGTTGATATTTTTTGATATCAAAAACGACTGGTAGGAGATTCTCTATTTATTCAAAACGATTAATAAAGCCAACACATTGCTCATGAAGATATATCTTATACACGTATACGTAATTCAAATTAATTTAATTAGTACACATTTAGTACAGTTTATGATATTATTGTGCTTTTAATGAAACATATTTAAATTGATGATCCATCATTGCCATTGCATTTCTCAGATTGATTATTTAACGTTTAATTTAGAAAACAAAATCAAAATACAAACGCTAGATAACGTCTCGGTCTGTATTTAATCGGAGTTAAAAACAGGTCTATCAATAATATCTCGCGGATAACAAAATGGCGGCTAGATTATTACATAGCCAGTAGCCTAGATCCGTGAAATTTCAATTTAACATATCTGTGTTAATACTGAACGGAACTGAACCGTGTTTGGACTGATATTCCTATTCGAGACACATCGAGACTTTAAAGAAACGGGAATTTCGACATGTTAATGAATTAATAACATACTAACCCGTCTTAGTTTTTTCTCGTATTCCATATGCATAATATCTACTTCTTGTAATCTTCGTATACCATTCTTATTAAATGATACATTACCAGTTAACCCTTGGATCTGTACCTTTAATATAATCATAGTTAACGATTGGTCTTTCATTACAACAATGCACGTGTAACTAAAAATACACATACACCAATTGAATAAAAGGCAACGTAAATGAACAAAAAAAAAGAAAAACAAGGAATTTAAAAATATATTCAAGCTTTTTTCTATATAAATAATATTCCAATGGCCAGACAGGGCATGTGTGTGTTGACTACAATGATCTATAATATCTATAAAATTGTCAGATTCATAATGTCTTATTTTCCTTTTAACCCATAAAGATTGAAGGCCGGGTAATTTGATTTTATGAAATAATGTGTAATAAAAGATGTTTGAAGTGTTAATTAAGGACATTATTGAACTACGGATTTACGGCATAACTATGAGGGTTTTATGAGATAATTCCAGAATCATAATTGAAATAGATCTAAAAATGGTGGTAAATTAATTTTCTTTTATAATATCTTACCGACGTTATAGCTTTTTGAATAACGTCTCCATGAGTCCATGGTCTTAAAGGATCTGACCGACACTGTATGCCTTTACTGTCATTATTATAAACAGCTCCGTGACGTAATGTTTTAAATACACATCTATCGTCATCTGTACACCTATCTAATATTTGTTTAAAGGCCTGCAGTATGACCTCAATACCATCTACCGCCAGGGCAACGTCTGTCTGAAAAAGAATATGTGTCAGTTTTGTTCTTTGAATTCGCAATTATAAGGTTCCATTATAAAACGAAAATCCTTGTTTAATAATTAAAATACCTCGAACATTTAGATAAAATGTGGAGAGGGTGGGAAGAATTCAATTACTGTATTATTTATTTATCCAGAGTAGACGATATTATTTAATTGTTTGGACATGATTTAGGTCAACCTAAGAGAATAGTTGTAAACAACATGCTTACATCTGACTGTTTAATTTAATTACACGTACGTCCATTAAGCAACATCTATTTCAGAATCAAATTTTATACACACATTTTACACGTAATGCAATTAGACTAGACAATTCACCTTGGATCCCATGCAAGACAAACTATATTAATTCTCTTCAGCTTGCAAGTTATATTTGCTTTTTATTGACGTATCATTAAAGCAATGGATACACATTCTGATATTTTCATTCTCTCTTATAAACATGCGTATAAACAAGGCGCCAACATTCACAAACTTCTGTTTGTCTACAAATATACTACCGTAGTCCGAGAAGTTTATAGAGATTGCAGTATATAAAGAATCAATATTAATATTCAAGTTATTGTGTATACTGGGAAACAAAAGGAACGACGAACATAATTTGGGTCAAAGAGCAGGCTTTGCCTCCCCAAATAGTACAGTATAGATGAGGATAAAGGGCATTTCTTTTGTCGATGACTACATTATAGCACTACGAGTATATTGCATGTATGTAATCAATATTTTATGTTTTACTTACAGAAATCCGACGACCTCGTAGCTTATTTCTCACTTTGTTTGGGTCTTTAGGCGGTTTTAAAATTTTTGCCAGTTGGTCTTGACTTTGTGGCTTAAATAATCGAAATCCCGTCACATTCACCCCTCCGTGAATAAAAGATTTCAGATCCAATTTTCCAATATCCTGTAAGAGAGACAAGTTATTACTGTTTTTACTGTCGTAAATATAGAGTGTTTGATATTCCTCAACATGCTGGCAGCAACAATCCCTTTTATCGACGTAAACGGATATTGTGGCTGAACTCCAGAGACCACCTTTAATCCGATTTAAAAAAGTTAGCCATGATTTACCTCACCGCTCAACCACTCAAATTAGTTGGTTACCAGCAATAATGTGTGCAAAAAATCTGATTACAAGCCTATATCGAAATACAGAAGCAATCTTGCCAACACATATATGTCTTGACGAAAATAATTTACTTGCATCAACCGCATAGACGTCTTTTTGTTCAACATAAGATGCATAGCCTAATCCAAAAGTGTTTTCCTTTATTAAAGTTCTATAATTTGATGAAATAGAGTGTAGTTATGCCAAAACCTAATGAAAAATATGTATAAATTTTTATTTGTACAGATTTGTGTAATGATAATGGGCCACCCAAATGGTAATCTGTGAATATTTTGTGTTGTTTAATTGTCGAGATCTAGACACCTGAAAACCGTACTGAATTTCTAAAATATTTTCCAAAAATTACTCACAAGAATCTCACACCCGATTTAATAACTTGATATAAACAGAGAAATATGACAAATGTGTTGTACAGGATTGTGACCTTTTAATTAAACATTAAATTACGTTAAACATGATGTAGCTCAATTTAGATCGGTTTCGTTCAAAGCTACATTATGTAATTCTAAATCTGCCTATTGAAGGTCGAAATTTTGGCTTCACCTGTTATAAACTATTATTTAGACATTTATTCACATGACAAGCCTAAATTAAACTCACTAGAACATCGAGTGGCCGAGTTTTGATAAGATGACAACAACCGCGGGATTTAAAAAAATATAACGATCAAATGGATACTCATGTCTCGATTGCCAAGTACCGTTGCTACTATAATAAACATATTCATATATCATTATCTATTCTAAAACTACTATAGCAAGAACAGCCAGCCCATTATCTAAATCTTACAAAAAACATCTTTCTATAATAACAACCTTATTATTTATCTATAATAAGCTAAATAAATTTGTAGGTATTTGAGAGTAACATAGATGAACTTGACTAAACATTTATTGGAAATAAAAGCTGAAGATAAAAACTGCTGTAATTCATATGAGCTTAAACTACTTACTGGTCCACCTAATAAATAATGATATCCATCTCTATTCATACCAACATCAACAATCTGAAATATAAGATAATATTAACTGAGAACAGATCTAATAATAGATGGTTTAAAGGAGTGCAGTATCTAATCCCCCCGGGTAAATAATATGTACAACAGAAACTAGGATTGTAACAAAGTGATGGACAAGATATATCCCGATGGGAGACAAACACATTATTAAAGCCTGTACACGTTATATAGGTAAATTGGATTAGTGCTAAGCTTGCTGTTCAAGGTTCTGGGATTTTGTTTTATAACACGTTACAAGTTAAAATGAATTATTGCTAAGCTGACCATGAATGTTTTTTTTTGTTTTTTTTTAACGACACGATTCCAATCCGATTTTATCTCGAGCTCAATGTGATTTGAAGCTAAGATATCGCAATGTTCCCGGGGACATGCCTCAAACCCAAGTCAATCCGTTACCATTTTCAGGCTACATATACCAGGAGGAAGATGATATGTAAAACGAAGACACTTAATGAACCTAAATTTGCCTAGAATTAGGAGATAATCATTTTCCAAAAAGCATTGTCTTTAGTTTTGGAATTCGACAAGATATTTGTAATAATGAAAATGGCACTGTCATTATATTTTATGGGTAGATGATTTTAATTTTTATAAAATAATCAAATTGAAAGTAGACAAATCAAATTGTAAATAAAGCATTGGTAGACCCACTGTCAATCTAGACGTAATCAGTACAGATAGAATACAATTTAATATCTTCTAAGAATAGAAACAGTTACTTGATTTAATAAATGTTGATAGGATGTGGCGCTAGACAGAGCAATAACTATTCTTTTCTTGTTGTGGGTACCAGTCCTGTCCATTCTTCGTAGCATTTCATGGGAGTCATTTAAATTTCGGATACGTCTGGCATCAATAATTATATTATTCGCTGGGTCTCGGAAAGCATCATACAGTTTTTGCAATTGCCATAAACCTGAATACGTAAATGAGAGCAAATAATCTTATTTTTGTGAAAGACAATATAACGCAAACAAAACATTTGATATCGGTCGATAGCTCGTGCACTTTATCAACGAAAACGTGATTACCAATAGAGCAGAATAATTCTTGAAAAATATGACGCATGCAGTCATTATCAATTGAATTAATCAGTTGGGAATTCTTGATGTTTTGAGTGCACAGAATATATTTAGTGATATGCTCTCATCAAAAAACGAAAGAAAACAAATTATTGATAAATGTCTTTCCATAATTTGTTAGGCTTTTATTTGTACAACAGAATATTAATGTAATTTAAATGCTCAAATAACAAAACAATATTAGTTATTTTTATGTGAAATAAATCTAGTTTAGTCTGTTGGGCGCTGAGTTTAAAAGGAGACCAGTTGGTATTTCAGTTATGCAATCACCCGTTTAAATAATTTCACAGGCCGTTTAACAAACTGTCACGTTTAAACGTTCTTATTGTTAAACATGACTATCAATTTAAACTTATAAAAGTTTATGTTTTGAAATAATGTTTATCTATCTACAGTGCTACTTACTGTAAACACACGTTATTTGTAGCAAACCAATTCAGGAATTAAAAAGTATTTTCAAACGTTTAAAAGTTTATGTTGTTGAGTTATTTTGTTTGCCAACCAATTTAAGAATTATTAAGAGTATTAAAACGTTTTATTTGAAAAATGTGGAGGTTTGTAAATGACCATAAGTTTGCAAATGATCAAAATACGGGTTTTTATAAATTATAACATTATTCTTACTTTAGGCATTTATCATTTTTAAAGAATTAAAATTATTTAGCATTAAACATGCATTATGCAAGAGCTAAATCTGTCTACTGCAGGTCTTTCTTTAGGTCTGAATTAATGTTATCTAAATGATTAATTAGACATTAATCAACTTATCAAGATCATAATCAACTATCGATGTCATCATCGTTAGCAAGGTCCAGAGTGAAGCAATTTAACTGAAATATTTTAGCATATTCTGTTTCCATTATCGATCTTTTAACTCTTATAGCAAGAACTGTCTGCTCTTTATCTAATCTTACCTATTGCCTCTTTAAAAAAGAAAGTAAAGGTCAATAGGCGTTTTTCATTATCAGAATTTAAATCATTAATTAGTATTTCATAGCAAATTAATGAGCATTAAGAATTCATCAATCTGATTAAAATACAGATCTATATTTTTTTTCGTTTTTTTTTTTTTTTTACTTTCGATGGTCTACACTACATGAAGATCTGACAAGTTGTATTCGAAGGTCGTATCAGGGGTCGTACGAGCGGCTTTTGACCCAATGACGTCATACATTGATTAATCAATCAGCGTAGACGTTTCTAGTGGTTTACCCACAGTTCCGTACATGGTACGCCAAGATGTCAACGTAACAGACCGTTCCATTGGCTTAGCCCTCACTTCAACCAAAACGCCTGTAATATAACAACTCTTCCAGATCCTAGTGTAGTAAAGACAAGTAAAATGAAATTTTGAACTATAAAAACGAAACGAAATAGAATTTGTGTTTTAATCAGATTGAGTATTTATATATGTCAGTTAAAAGCAATGCAAAAGATAATTATTTAATTATATATCGCTAAACTCACCATCATCGGAATCAAAGAGATAGTAAATTTTACCCCAACCAAACCATTTAACAAGGTCTATGATGACTTCAATATAAGAGGGGCTCAGGCTGATTTCGTAACGGTAGCCATCTCTGACATCATTTCTGTTAGATGTGAAGACAACGTACGGTATATTTAAGGCCTGGCTGTAAGATTGGATGGTATTAAAAGATTTAGGTTTACTGGTACCAAACAAAACAAATACACCTTTGTGAAGTTGCGTACAAACTGAAACAGGAAAATACAACATGAAAAATTAGTTTTCCCTTATAATACAATCTAAATTCAACCGATTATTTCTTTTAAAAGTTAATTTTCGTGATTTCTGCGTTTCTGGAATGATATACTGGACTCCCAAGACAAAAATCTGGATTTTTTGTTCTAAATACTCATATATCTTTAATAATTAAATACTCCGGTCGTCAAACACTATGTTACCCTCAATCATGTCCACAATTTCAATGCTTCCGTGTTACATATTGTGACACGAACACCATAACATTGGGGGCATAATTATTGTTTTTACCATGACCTACCTTCAAATAGAAATCATTTACATTTAGACATGATTTACAACTATTCACGTTTAATAGACTCTAACCACGTGTCCTGTCATTCAAGGGCGATATTCGTGGCTTTCGTTGGAAGAGAAGATGATTATAATTGCCAATTAATGAAGGCTGCAGACAAAACATGATCCTTTTCGAACAAGGGACATAAATTGGTGACATTCATTTACTCCAGCCCCCAGGTTTCATCAAACATATATAACTAAGGGTGGCTTCAATTAGGCACTTTTAGACCATTCCATCCTTTGTGACTTTGGCATTCTATTACCGATTAGCCGCTTCAATGGAATCCCCTTTAGAAATCAACACGCTACTATCTAAACAGCCAATAAGTGCCCCTCGCTAGTCGAGTGACAATCAAAGGATTTTTTTTTACCAAAATCGTGCGTGAGGGGTAAATAATTGAGCTTATAAGAATCGATCAATTGGTGGATATTGTAAAATATTTGATTAGTGAAATCTCCCTTTCAGCTAACCGCCCAAGTTAAATTCCTTCCATCGTTTTCACGTCTATCAAGTATTAAGCTAACGGGAAATTACTACTTGGTCATCTTGATTTCGGTCTTTTGACCCTTCACCTTTGCTATATGTCTTCCTATTTTCAAATAATCAATCCGGAACTAAAATCGAGGGGTTTAAGACGGTGGGGTGTAGAAAAACGTATATACTGACATTTATTCTATGTCAATAATTTAAATGTATCTAAAAAATTTAGGGAATGAATTGAATTTGTTGCAATATTAATTGAAAAGGATTTACCTTATTTTATAATTAATTAGAAAACCATGTGATATTTACATAACGCATAATATGCATAGGAATGGCCGTGTAGCATGCAACCGTACAACTAGCTATATGAACTCCTCAAAAGGGAAGTAATAGCACGTGTATTATTGGCCGTGCACAATCATAGTCTGGTGGTCTGGACATGCACATAGTATTGTGGACTTGCTGTATAAATATATAAACCAGTGAAACTGTCGTGCACAACAAACTTATGTTGAACTTGACCGGTCAGTTATAGTTGTGCCCGTAACTACGAAACCGGAAGCCGTAAGCCAACGTCGCCTAGCCTATGTTACTTACCGGTCCGAGCTACCCCAATTCACCAATTTTTAGCTCCGAGGCACCCCTAGTGTAGCCGCCAACCCTGAACAAACAGACAGACAAACACGCGACAGTAACAAGTATTAGTATAGATAATAATAAGTTATTTACTCTCCATGATAACCCTTTCGGAAATTATGTAGATACTGTAGATACTGATTTAATTAAACTTACTGGCTTGACTTAATTTGTAGCTATCTGATACATCGACTATATCAATTGTAGTGTTGAATAAAATTCTAGTATGTACGTTATTTTTATTCTTATAGGCTATTACCCTGGATACGGCTCGCTCCACATCTTCTGCTGATTTATCTAATATAATTCCTGCAATTAACCAGAAAATAAGCCATCAATTACAGTCTAGACTAAGTTTACGTTGGATAAGTAGTATGTAAAGATATGCTTTTCTACTGGGGGATACATTGGCAAGACAACTTAAACCCCAAAGTACGATGGCCTTAAAATTACTTCAAAACACACCAGGAGGGAGAAGACTTGGTTTTAAATAAGTCAATAGAGACATTATCCAGTATTTAGATACAGTGGAATTTTTCTTCTCTGCAAAAGGTACCTTAATTGGTCTTCGATTAAAATGGAACATAAAACAAAATCTGCTAAGTGGTTAACTTAAATTAAATACATTCGTATATTTTACATTCATGGTTATTTTCGTTTTGTGGAGCTTCTACATATGTTGCTATATATTTCGTCTGATGTCATTCGGCTGTACTAATTATTCATTAATATAGACACCGGCATTCCATAACTAGTTATTATTTTCTTCCACGAATTGAAATTATCCTCTAGACAGGCTGATGTGACAAACTCTACCAGATATAGTGTTATTATTTCGTAAATTTTTCAATGAATATAATTATTTTTATATAAAAGAGCGTGTAATTTGTACAGTTGGCTGCCAAGTGTTTATAATATTTATTATTTTGTTTTTAAAGAGCAATTCTGGGTTTGTTAAAAAAAATCGTAAAATTCATGCGTATCTGTTCTTCCAGGGGTCACGTAACAATGTAGAATGCGTATTGAATTATTTAAATACCAGAACTGAAGGCTGGTACGCTATGATATGATATAACATGGGATGATGATACTGATACAATATGGGTAGACCATATGAGATAAATGGGTAGGTTCTGTTATCTATATAAGTGATGGTGTTTGACCGGGTGTAATGTCTGTCGCCTGTCTGACCTGGAGTTTGTTTCTGGAAACTAATGTGCACAAGCCAATTATTGAAATAAAAATACACCATAGGTTATTCCCACATGTTGATTTATTCACTGTCACACAGTTCGTTGGAGAAGACGCACTGATCTTTTAATTTTTCTATGCCACCATACCAGAGTTCAGGAAGGACAGTTATTAAAGACTGCCGCAATCATATAGACTGTGCGAAAAGGTTTAGGGCAGGAGTTTTGTCAAATCCTACTTTTTATTCACGATGATACAATGTCAAGAATGCGGCATTCTGTCGTAAAGAAGACAATGTCTTTTGATAAACTGAAAGAAGCAGTGGTATTATGTACCATATATTGCAAAAACGGGAGAAAAGACCAGAAAAGGTCTTAATACCACGTCTGCTAAATAGCGACACAGTATTCACATTACAGATTGTGCGGACTGAATTCAAACTGAAACGCGCCACACTGAATGCGCATAACTAGCAGAAGTGAAGGTCATTCATATCCAAGATGGGTGCGCCCGTCATTCCTTTTCGTTTTCGAATTTTGGCAAATTGAGTGTGACGCCTAAATCCTGAATAAGACTTTATTCCGAGTTCAATTCAGATTAAACCCCCAGTGTGAACGCACCGTAAGTACCAGTAAGGCGGCCGATTCCGATGCAGGGATTTAATTTATACATTTTTGAGGACATTTTTTAATGAATCTGAATTATGACGTCAAAAATGTTTTTTACCCGATTCTTTGATACAACTTCATAATACTGGCGGCCATCTTCGATTCATGTTAATTATTCAACACCCCTACCATTTCCAGCGTCACATGACGCCATTAAATATGCTTTTCCCCCTGATACTCATAATACATTATAATGCTCTGAAGAGAGTAATGGCGACCATTTTGGATTTATGTTAATTACTCAAAACTTCCACCCCTACCAGAGGGCAGATACCCCTCTTTCAGAACTCCGTGAAATAAATTATGTTCCAGTTTGTTCTCGGTACACACTATACACATATATATTATCTTTACCCGTCTAATGCTCATTGATTGTTTGTTATATGCTGTGTGTCAGCACAATGTCTTCTACTGATATGCCACAGTGCATTATTGAACATATGGTGGGTCTTACATAAATATAGATCGTATCTGAATAACAACAAACCCGAACAGAACTCATATAACATTGATCGATTCATAAACAGCAAACTGTAACTTTGTTATAAATTGAACTGACAAATGAATGCATGACCTTGGATGTTTGAAAAATAAAATACCACTACAAGTATGAATTCATCGCTTAGCATTCGGTTTTATATTTTCTCAGTTCTATCCAATTTCGTTTTTAGTGTTTACTAATATTTGTAGTGTCCCAGTCAAAAGCATTTAATCAATATTCACATAATATTTTCGTTGGTCGTTTCTTATATACTCGGAGGCAAAAGAGGCGCACTTGTTTGATAATAAAACATTCTTCAACCACACGCAATGCACTGTAAATAATATTTGTGTATTTTTACCGTACATTGACTGGCAGAAAGTTGCCAGAAAATTGACAAACAGTGAGTGTAAAATACTTCGATGTAAATCTGCATTGTTCTCGTAAATATAATGTGAGGTAAATTTACATTCACTCTAAATTTACACGGTGGTTGTAAATTTACCTCAAAGTTATCTTAAACTGACTGTAAATTTACACCTCAAAGTTATTTTACACTCTCTGTAAATTTACGTGGTGTTTGTAAATCTAAATCTACCATTAGAGGTGCATTTACAAGTCGTTGTTCAAATACAGTGATTTTACTGGCATGTTTCTGTTAGTCATTTTACGGTAAAAATACAATTTGAAGTGTATAATATTTACTTGAAATATACCTTGATATTTTATAAAGGAATGTGTTTGTCCCCACTCGGCTAGGTAGTCTTAGGTTTGATTCTGGCGAACACATAAAGTTTTGCGGACCTTTCAGCCGAGCAAGCAAAACATCATTCGATAATGGAAAGAAATTCAATGAAATGGGGTTTAACGCCCTACTGTTCTGCTTCTTACAATGGAAAGAGTAGGAGGCATGACACGAAGCAAAATGTCCCACACAACCCCTTTGTATAGCATATAACTGTCTTTATACGCCAGTTAGCTAGGTGCATTCAGATTTTGAATAACATGTTTCTCTAAAATAGACTAATCTGACTGACATAACATTAAATATTTTGCACAAAATTAGATATGTGGAATAACCGATTTGAACACTATTTGACAGTAAATTTACAATTTGTTGTAAAAATACTATTTCAAATGGCATTTCTGTTAATATACATCTCACATAATGTAAACTGACATATGGTTGTATTTGTACATTACGTTTGATGTAATCTTGCATGTGGCCAAAGAGAGAATAACCGATGTGGCCACTATTTGACAGTTAATTTACAATTTGCTGTAAAAATAATAATTCAAATGGCATTTCTGGTTATATACAGCTCACTTAATGTAAACTGGCATATGGTTGTGTTTCTATATTAAGTTTGATGTAATATTACATAAGCTTTGTATTCATATGCATTTACATCGTTTTAAATGTAAGTTAATAAACCATGTGATATTACTTTATTTTAAGTATACTTAAACCTGAAAATATACTTTAAAATTTTAACAGTTTAATAGAGATCTTTTACGTGCACGCCAACGTGTTTCGTCCCATTCGAACGACTAGACAGCCACCTTATCCGGCCCTCCGTCCTGCATCACTGACAAGGGGGAACCACGCCGGAAAATCTGGATGAACTTTTTCGGCCAATGCAGGGATTAAACACCCGACCTCCATGCTAGCGATCCAGCGTCTTACCCACTTAGCCACCGTGACCCCCCTTATAAGTGGACTATAGACTAAAGGTAATGAAGCGATGTACAATTACACGTTTCCTGTAAATTGTACACAAATTCCGTATTTAAACATGTTTGAATAGTAGAATTACCGATAAAAACAGTTAAACATACATTATGCAAGAGCTAAATCTGCCTGTTTTAGACCTTTCTTTATTCCTGAAATGTTATCTAAATTATTAATTATTAATTAGGCTCCGATTTACTGTTCGACTTCCATTCATGATTTAATCATGAAATGGATAATCGAGACTATGTTTTTTATCGTACCGACTTTAGTAATGATGATCGAGGCTAGGCCGAAAATTCAATCGCTAAAATCTCGGTTCAGAGTGGATAAATTTGACTGAAATTTTCAGCAAATTCCCTTTACATTATCTAGTTTTTAACTATTATAGTGAGATCTGCCAACTCTTTATCTAATCTTCCATAATGTATCTTTAAAGTATAATATACATGTACTTTTAACCAACATAGTTGTATCAATACAAGTTACATGTAATAAAAATACACTTTTATTGTTAATTTACCAATTTATTTTACAGTAATCACATGTTACCGCACTAATACAGTAAATTTATAGTATAAAAACATGCAGTGTTTTTTTTTACAGCGTTATGTTAAAGAAATTATGTATTTTTTTCTCTGTAATTTTACATTTATTTTTAACAGTGTGTATTACGTTAGCTATTTTATGCATGCGTTAAAGGTACATTCTTATAGGAAAATACTGACGTTTTGGTCCATACAGATTAATTCCCACTCTTATAAAAAAAAAAGAGGGGGCTATATTGGCCCAAACTTATTGAACTCGACCAAATTCCACCCTTTTCTGTCGACTTGTTTTAGAGCACCATATTCATCTTTTCCCCTATAGTTCAGAACAAGATACACTTTTTCCTTCATGGTCGGTTTTGAAGTGCTAAGCGTAAAAATATTGATCGGAATGCAACATACTTAAAATATACAGTTTATTGAAAAGTGCCGAAAATTAGCCTTTGTGGTACATTTTTTTTTTCAAATTTAATTACAGAAATACAATTTCTGACTACTATACGTTCTCATCATATCCAATGTCGTCATTTGTACCATTATGGTAGTGTGCATAAGTGTATATTTGTATTTATTGTTTTAGTATTTTGTCTTATTGTACTTTTAACCCTTGTCGGTGCACGCGGGGTCTCCGTGGACCCCATGCACATGTTTTTATAGTGTTTTGTAATAACTACTTTCTGAAATTTAAT